TTTCCCTGGCAGAAAACCATTGATTCCTCTTATTGCATCTTAACTAGGCAGGAGAGCTCGAGGAGGGTTTTGACGCGAAGCCGACAGGGGGGCGAGAAAGTCAGGCAGACAGTGTAGTGAGGAAGGCGTTAGGGGTTCTAAACTCGCCCCCGAAGGGTTGGAAAGGGTACGTCTTAGCGCGCTTGGGTCCCGCAGTCCTTCCTTTTCGAATCGTGCAGCCACGAGCCTCCCTCTCGGTTGCAGGGGTGGGGGTTTTATATATATATTTCTCTTTCTCTTCACGTATCAAAAACAATTTCAAATGACATTGCACGTGCGATCCAAATGTGTAGATGCAGCCAGCGACCTGCCAGCGCCCCAGCAGAGGCCAGGCGGGATGCTCCCCATAAGCCCCTGGCACTCGCCTCCGCCTTCCTCTGCTCCCGGGGCTCCGGGGTCGAGCAGCCGTGGCGGGGTCCTCGGCGCAGGCCTCGGCTCACTGGTTTAACTCCAGCGCCCAAACTTGCTGCGGCCAACCTGTGCGCCCTTTAATCCTCTTCTCGCCTGGGCCCAGGGCAGGAGGAAAGCCTTCGTGCTGCTGCTGCCAGAGGACACACACAAGAAAAGAGGCGAGAGAGACAGGTTTAAATGTTTCTGCTCCGCTCGCCCAGGCGTGGGGTAAAAGGTGTTGGGAGCAGTAACTGGGAGCCTTTAAATAAGTGACGAATTTCTGTTTGTGAAATAGGCAAACAGGCTCATAAATTTGCCTTTATGCGCCGAGTTCCTGGGGTGTGGTTGGGGGGGCTGGGATGGGCTGGGCAGCTTCTGGGGGTTTGGTAGTGAGAATTTTCTGCGGCTGGTGAAACGAATGCCCTTAGGTTTGGCTTTATGGAGCCGAAGGGAGACTGCGGGGGTTGGAATGGGAGGGGTGGGAATCAGCAGCTTCCTCTCTCGCGGACATGCTCTCCGCACACATCCCACTTTCCAACCTAGTTTATAGCGCCTGGGCTTGGATACAGGGTTGGGTCTCTGCAGCCGGCTCTGGGCACTCAGAAGGCTACGCGAATGAGCGGGGGAGTCGACCTGGCTTAGCATCCCCCTTCCCCGCTACTTGAAGGAGGCGGCAAAGTGCAGGGAATGGGGAGACGCCCAATAACTACTTCCAACGAGGGCGTCGCCCGGGCCTGCATGTCCTCCAGCCCAGGGCGGTGGTTTAGAGACTCGATGACCACGGTCTTTCCCAGTCTCTTCAGGTGACTTCCCTAGTTTACCACAGCCCCTGCGGGTCAGATAAAACCCAGGAGCCTCTCTAGTCTCCAACGCGCGGTGTTCCTGAGCGCACCAATCTAGAGAAACTAGTTCAGTTCCCCAGCTTGGAAATCACTGCTTCAGAGGTCCCAGAGCCCTGCGCCAGCGAAACTGAGCTCAAGTGTCGCCTCACTGGAGAGGATCGGAAAAAGCCGAGTAGGGATTGCGATCTCCAAAGCCAAAAGAAGTGAGTGACTTGCTTGTCGGCGTTTATACACAAAACCATCAAGGTGGCCCTAGGAACCAGCCATGGGGAGTGGAGCGGTGAAACATCCTCCAGATGTTTATTCCTCCAGGGAATAAACTGACTTGTTTTACCCAAGTAAACAACTCCTCGGGTAGGTGGCCTTCACATCCTGTCCCGCTCTGGGCTTCAGTTTCCCTATCTGTACAATGATGAAAGTAGACCAACCTCTCTGGCAAAGGCCCTTTGAAATCAGCAGCGGAGCCCATATGCATCAATTCACATTCAGGCAAATTAAAGTAACGAACTCCTACAACATTCTTAACCTGGCTTCCAGGAGATCCCAGGGATGAATCAGGACCCCTTGAAACTGGAAGTGAAATATATGGTGTGTGCATTTTCTCGGGGTCTGAAGCTTCCAATGGATTCTTAGAAGGGACCCTATAAGCCTGTCGGAAAAGTGTAAGATTCTGTCTTCATTCACAACCTTACAAACACTATCCACATTACAGATGAATTCAAATATGAATCTGCCTCCCTCCATGCACACAATCCCACATTTCAACCATCTCAGAACTCCCCGCAGCCTCTCAAAATTGCACGAACGGCAACGCAGACTCCTTCCCCTGCGTACTCGGCCTACGGATGCTCACCGCGCCCGCGCCCTTGGCTAGAGTGTACGGGACCCGGACTTACCAGCTCTCTTTTCCGCTTGCTCTCACGGCCGCCATCCGCCTTCTTGAGTTCGGCCTTGAAGGCCTCGGGGTCGCCGGCCTGTGCGTCCTTGGCCAGCACGTCCATCAGGTAGGCGATGTAGCTGGTGGCCAGGCGCAGAGTCTTGATCTTGGAGAGCTTGGTGTCAGCTGGCACATTGGGGATGCACTCGCGCAGCTCGGCGAACGCGCTGTTAATGCTCTCTGTGCGTCTCCGCTCCTTCTTGGGTCCTGAGCCTTTCCGCCGGCCCAGGCGGCCGCCGAGCGTCTCCAGCCGCCCGGGGCTCTGGCTGGCCCTGGTGTCTGGACCGTAGGAGGCGGCGGCTGCAGCGGCTGCGGGCGGTGGCCCGCCTGCAGGGAAGTCCGGGGCAGCGTCAGCGGGGCTGAGCAGCCAGCTCTGGAAGTAGGGCCGCTCCTGGTGACAGCGCGCGGCAGGCCCGAAGAGGAAGGACTCGTGGAGCATGGGGTGCGCGGGGTGAGGGTGGTGATGATGGTGATGGTGGTGATGGTGTGCGTAGCTGCCCACGAGGTTCATGTTGGAGCGGCCCCTGGCCTGCGCCGCCAGCCCGATTAGCGCCGCCCCATGCGCCCCAGAGACTGCCGGGGCCACCCGTGGGCTCTGGGGCGGCGCTCTGGTGGGCACTGGCTTTGAGAGATTCTGGGGCAAGGCTGAAGATGACACCCGCAGCCCGTCTTCTGGCCGGCTTCTGTTGCAGGAGAGGACGAGGATGCCGAGAGACCTGTTTAACCCTTCTGCGGCCTCCCCTTCAGGGTCTGGCTTATATAAGGCTGGGGCTTTGATGTCAACCTCTCCCTGGAGCCAATGGCAGGGGGGCGGGGAGGAGGAAAGGGGGATGGCCGTCCCTGGTTTTAAGCTCAGCTAGTGCTACTCGACTCAGGCCGCCTGCGGGGACAGGGAGGCGGCCCCGCCTCCGCCCCTCCCCGCCCCCCAGTTCCCGGCTTGTGGGGGAGACGGGCTAGTACTTGAGACACAGGCCTGTCAACGCCCAGGATGGCGTTTGTCTCCCCCTCCCTGTGGGCCCAAGAAAAGGAATCTAGAATCATGGAGAGAAAAGGCCTTCACCTAGATTTTACAGATAAGAAAACTGAGGCGCAAAAAAAGAGAAAGGTTCTTGTTTCTAGACCTTCCAGAATCCAAAATAGAAATTCCAGAGGTTCCCAGTCCTGAGCGGCATCTGCTCTACTTGGTCTCAGAGCCAGAAAAGGAGAGACCGCTGTTGGAGGCAAGATAGGCCCCTAATGTTGTTCCCTAAGCACCCTCAGTCCTTAGTCACCGGCCCATTCTGCGGGACTGCAGCAGGTCCTGCACCCGGTAGAGCACCCACCAACTCTGGCCAAGTCTTGTCCTCTACGGTGCAGGCGGCCACCCACTGGGGAAGAAGCCGGGGACAGGAGGTGGGAGGAGAGGGGTGGCGAGTAGGGGGAGGAGGGCTCCAAACCCACAGGCATTTACTGGTTTGTTCCGGGCTCCAGAGCTTGAGGTCCACTCTTCTGGCCTCCTGGGCGCCTGATCCAGCCCAAAGGCCGGCCAGGCTGATGCAGGGGCAGCCTCCTTCCCGCGGGGCTTGAACAGAGAGCCCGGAGCTCGGCTACGTTGGGCCACCCCATGCAGGTTATCACAGCTTGAGAATGTTCGAATCTTGGCGCCAAAGGTCACACTGCGAGAAATCAGCGTTTGGCGGTAAACACACACCAAGGAGACCACGACCTCCACACTCTCCGAGAGGCTCACACAGCCGGAGAAACCTGGCATCTCACACCCACCAGCGTAGAGACGAGGTCCTGGCCGCGCAGACCTCCGCTATTTCCACTCCCGGCTGGGGCCCTTAACACTCGTTGGATTCTGTCCGCGGGGGCCTTTCTCTGGGCTGGCATTGGGACCTGGGAATCCCAGGGTGGCAGCGCTTGCGGCTGGAGTTCTCTGTCTTACCTCCAATGGGTAGCTTCCCAGCTGACGTCCTCATACCTGGGTCCCTCCATCCTCACCAGCCTTTCCCAGCCAAGCCCCTTCCCTACGTGGCCTGTCAACGCCCAGGACAGCGTCTGCCACCCCTCCCCGTGGGCCCAAGAAAAGGAATCTAGAATCATGGAGCGAAAAGGCCTTCACCTAGATTTTACAGATAGGGAAGCCGAGGGAGTGTGCCCTTCTCTCAAAAGCAATGTGGAGGCAAGGGTGAAAGGAGAAGAGAAATACATGACTGCTCTTTTATTTTTTATAATTTATTTTTATTTTTATTTTTGGCTGTGTTGGGTTTTCGTTGTCGCACGAGGGCTTTCTCTAGTTGCGGCCAGCGGGGGCTACTCTTTGTTGCGGTGCCAGGGCTCCTCATTGCGGTGGCTTCTCTTGTTGCGGCACGCGGGCTCAGCTGCTGTGGCTCACGGGCTCTAGAGCACAGGCTCAGCAGTTGTGGCGCACGGGCGTAGTTGCTCCGCGGCATGTGGGATCTTCCTAGACCAGGGCTCAAACCCGTGTCCCCTGCATCAGCAGGCGGATTCTAAACCACTGCACCACGAGGGAAGCCCCCATGACTGCTCTTTTTAGAGGGCAAATTCATTCCTTTACCCATTTCTTCAACAAGTATTTACTGACCCCCGCTGTGTGCCTGGCACACTTAGCAGCCCAAAGGCAGGGGGAGAAAGGTCAACTCATATTACAGATGGGAACAGTGAGGCCCAGAGAAGATGAACAATTTTCCTTGGGGGTCGGGTAGCCAGTGGGTATGCGGTTTTCCCCTCCCGTACAGGGAATAAATAGATGGCGGCGGGCGGAGGGGTGACGACACTTCGAGGGAGAAGCCAACAAATGCTTAGTCCAGAGCCGTTTCCCCTTGTGGGAGCTCGGCTGGGCTGTGGGCCCTAGAGGTGCGTGGGGGGAGGGAGGTCCTTGTTTCCTGCCTGAGGCGGCTGGAAACCCGCTGCTCTGCCGGGCGCCTGGCGCCAGCAGCGCTGGGGTTGGGCCGAGCGCGGAGCCGGAGGCTCGCGGGGAGGGAGCACCCGGCGCCCGGTTGAGCCGCGGCTCCGCGGGGTCCCGCGCCTCCCTGGCCTGGAGGCTCTCGGGAGTGCCGGTGTGCGGGCAGAGACGGTGATTACTCCGTGGAAAAGGACCTCAATCCTCGACACGCATCCAGCCGTGGTCCTAGTCCGGCAGGATTTCCACCGGCAGACCCTCAGGCCCACCATTACACATGCACATATATATGTACACGGCCTCACAAAAAATCTCGGGCATACATGAAAGTCCATGCATTCGTGCAAATGCCACAACATATGTGTATTCTCCCGGTAACCTATTTACACCCATGCGACACACGGCATTTCAATATTCGTGCATTCCTAGGATTTTACACATTATCTCTCTGTCACCCACAGGGAACACACCTCGCTTCAGATGTGTTACAGCTCTGAGCCACTCCCAACCCTCCATGCAGGCATGCATACAGATACCATCACAGCAGAAACACATCAATTCTACACAAATATCACAGCTGCAGGGCTTGACACATACTCTTTACTGTCACATTTGTGCACAGGTCCAACCAGTTTGTGTCAGTTTCTTACAGTGTCCCACACTTGTATTCACAGCACAGATTCTGAAAACCCCATCCCACATTTCATGTGTTCTCAGTTCCCACAAACACACACAAGTACACAGCCACAATTACTACAGTATATGCACAGGTGCTCAGAAGTAGAAGTTTTCACATGTTCGCGTTCGCCCATTACACACAGGCACACAAATTCCAAACACTCAGACAAGGTGAAATCCATTCTGTCTTACCTACAGTAGTCACAATCACAAGCGCTGGAGATGAAGTTGAAACAATAGTATGCACAGTATCACATACCCCACCCCCATGAACGATGAGCACGGGATGGGATAGACAGGTACGTGCGGTGACCCACATACACACTCACAGCTCCAGCACCCACCCTCGTGTCCCAAGAGTTTTCCAGGGTTACACTGATCACTCAGGGCCCATAGAGACCCTCCAAATATCCAGCCTGCTTAGTGTGGTAGGGAACGCATTATCAGTACTGGATGATGAACCCCAGTCCCATGAGCAGCCTTGAGGACCCCCAGATCCCCTGACAGTCCCTCGTGGGTGGTTAAAGAGCAGGGTGCTGGCAGTCCCCTGGACCCCAGAAAGCAGTGCTTTCCACCCAGAGTCACAGAGTCTAAGTAGTCCTCCAAACAGTGCCTGCTGTGGGAGCATGGCCCTCGAGGACCACTGGGGCTCCGGGCTGGGAAGCCTCCAGTGGGATGGACGCCAGGGAGATGGCCTGTGTAGAACACGAGGCGCCTAGGCTCCAGACCCGGCCTTCTGAAAGACCCCAAGGTGCTTTCAAGTCCAGCGTGGCTCAGGTGCATTTGGAACGACAGTGGGAACCCAGTAAAGGTGTTCTCTCTCTCCTTCCCAGGCTATATGGTGTGGGAGGTCTGGGTCCCAGGAGTTTGGCCGAAATGTTTCTAAGCTGAGAGGCAAGAGATGTGCCTTGAGTTCTGGCTCTACCTAGCACCTCACTGTGTTCCTTTCCCTCTCCGAGCCTCAGTTTCCCCATTTTCAGAAAAAACGGGGACTGATAGTATGGAGTTGTGTAATTCTGAGCTCAGGGCTGTTGCACGGCTCCCCTCTGGTTCCTCTCTCCCAGCTCTGGGACTTCGCACTTGGCTCTGGGGCCCGAAGACTCTAGCATGCCCAGGCCCACGAAAACAGACTAAGGAACAGGAATCTGGGACTCTGGGTTGGGGCGGGGCATCCTACCTACCAGTCTCAAATCCCCCTACCTCCCCTCCGGACCGCATCCCGCGGTGCTCGTGGGGACTGCGCCTTCACAAGGTCTGGCGCTCCGAGCATTTGTAAATGCATGCTTCTTCCTCCAGTTATGCTAGTGAGGTCCGGCCAGCACCCTCACCCCATTTTACAGGCTCTTAAGCACATAGAGGTTAAAACTTTGTATTAAGGGAGTGTTTAAGGGAGCCTCTCGGAAGAATCGCGCCCACCCACCGGGACTGAAACTCAGCACTGGCATTCTGCCCTGGGTGAACTTTTGCATCCTCGTTTCCCTCCTCTGTAAATTAGGGTGCAGTAACACCCGCCGCAGAGGGCTGGTTTAAGATTAAGCGAAATTATGTAGGTGAAGCTCTTAGCACAGTGACAGTAAACCTGGAAAAATGGTGGCTCTGTTTTTAGGAATATTAATTCCACAGGGGAAGAAATGGAGTTACGTGAGTCATGACTACATAGCCCTGGATAGGGAGGGAATCCAGGCATCCCCTTTGCAGTGCTCTGTTCTGATCTGACCGCTCCCCTTTCGACCACATCGAGTCCTCTTCTTTCCCCACCGCCCCTACAAAACCCTACTGTCAGGAGGCTGGAGATGGGGGACACCGAGCATCGCCAGGTGCGGGGGGGGGGGGG